TGTGCAATTTGGTGCTTGGGCCACCTTAAGTTATGCTGATCTTATTCTAGGAATCTGGAAAGTTGGAGCGATTACCTGAAGTTACATTTTAACGAGGTGCCTGCCAGGTCCAAAGTCAACATTGTATGTAGATTTACATACTTTTTAAAGTGATACAGAAAGATCCTGGGATCTTCTGTATTGGAGTAGATTGGGCAATCTACTTCTGTAGTGATACCACCTCGGAAACCCAAGGACGGGTCGCTATAAGTCAGATCCGACTTGACGGCAGTGAGTTTGGTTTGGTTTGAAAGTGAATTCTGAAAGAACTGAGAGGAGAGAAACCTCTTCCTTTATTTCTAACAGGGAGAATGAAAATCTCTCATTTTCAATTTGTAACTGTCCTTACATCAGCCACATAAGTTAATGTCAGTATCTCAGCTACTTTTAACTGACTTATTGGCTCTTTTGGCCTATAACGAAGTGATTCTAAACATTCACTGTGTATTATAATAACTTAGATACTTAAAAAGTTATATCTAAGTCCCATCTTAAAATTTTTAAATCAAGATCTATGGGGTAAATCACAGGCATCAGTATTTTCTAATGTGCAACCATGAAATAATTATAATCCTAATACACTGAGTTGTCTTCCCTTGTGCCCTCATCTACTCTGCAATTCCAATGTGTGCACTTGTCCAACACATCTCACAGTCCACCTTATCTTTCTTCCTCTTGTGTATGTGTCTTCCTCCCACCATTTGATGACATCTAAAAGTAAAAGATCTCTGGGTGGTCCAACAGTTAAGTGTAAGACTACTGACCAAAAGGCTGGTGGTCTCAAACCACCCAGATGTACCTTGAAAGGCCTGGCTCCCATAAGATCTGCTCCTGTAAAGTCACAACCTTGAAAACCCTATGGGAGTGTAGCTGTACTCTGCAACCCATGGGCTTGTCTGTCATGAGTCTGAACAGACTTGACGGCAACTGGTATAGAGGTGAAAGGTTATCTGGTATTCACCCTTGCTCCCCATGCACCCACACACATGCCATATACACAGTGTAATGCCACTTTTAAAGCAGGATGACTCTTACATAAAAAATTAGGCTCTTCTCTCTCATTATCTTTTTTGTTCCCTCAAGGCTCTCCTCTTATGAAGGTAATCCAATCCACTGTCATTGAGTCAATTCCAACTCACAGCAACACTTTAGGACAGAGTAGAACTGCTCCTTAGGGTTTCCAACACTGTAGATCTTTACCAAAGCAGACTGCCTTATTATCATCTTTCTCCCACAGAGCAGTGCGTGTGTTCAAACTTCCGACCTTTTGGTTAGCAACCAAATGCTTTCACTACCACACCGCCGGGCCTCCCTTATAAAGTTAAAGGTAGGCATTAATTTGCAACAAAGACAAATTTATCAGAACAATGAAGTTTTTGCTCAGTTATTAGTTTCAAAATAAGTATATTTTTAAGTCAAAACAAACACAAAAGTCTGAAAGCTAACATAGATTTAATTGGCAAAAACCTTGATTTTGCAGGACTAGTTTGTTTGAAGGAGCCCTGGTGGCACAGTGGTCAAGTATTCAGCTGCTAACACAAAAGTCAGTGGTTTGAATCCACCAGTGACAAAAGATGTGGTAATCTGCTTCCATAAAGATTACAGCCTTGGAAACCTTATGGGGCAGTTCTACTCATGGAGTCACTATGGACCAGAACACACTCAATGGCATAAAACAACAGTTTGTTTTGTGGAGTGCTGTCTAAAACATTGCTTTGGCATATCAATAGCCAAATTCAAAAGATTTTACAATTTACATTCCAAAGATTCAGTAAATTCCAAAATGCTAAGATCTAACAGTGCTCCATATTATTTTCTGGGAATGTACTAAATATATTACTAGAATTTATTGCAGGAACCATAAAGTAGGCAAGGATGTGAAATGGTGTAAAACCAGTTTTTCTGGTCCAAAAACTAGAAAATAGGACGAATGCAATGGGTTTTTGAGAAAAGTCCAACACAATTCCCCTCTGACTGATACATTCTATAATCATGGTGTAGATGATATACATTCACATGCCACATTCATGGTGTGTGTGAAAGTCAAACAGTATGGGCTGAAGACTGGCTGGGAAATGAGGAAATGTAAACTGCTTTTTCAAAGCCACCTGACTAACCAAAGAAAGAGTGGGTAGGCCATTATAAATAGTGAGGATAGTACAGAAAGCCTGCATAACTGACCAAACAAGTTAACAAAGGCAACAGAGCATGCAAAAGCTCACATTAGTAAGTTACCACAGAACATCCTACTCTGAAGAAATCTAATTCTCCTCTGACATATATTTCTAAAAGAAGTAACCCCAGATCCTAAATTCTGAGAATATGAACATTTTTCATTAATGTTGTATCAAGGTTAACATTCTTTTATTGCAATATTTTTAGATGTGATTTTATTAATGTTTACAAATACCTCATAAGTGTACCTTTAAAATGGTGGGGAAAGAAAATAATGATTGAAAAATTCATTACAACTTACAGTTCAGAAATACTCTCCAAAGATTCAGTAAATTCCAAAATGCTAAGATCTAGTCATATTCCATATTACTTTCTGAGAATGCACTAAATATAATAAAATTTATATAAATCATACTTTAGAATGCTGATGATTTTAACTATCAAACTGATTCAAATGTTATTCTTAAAATCTCATGCCTCAAATTAAGGAATTTACATTGCCATGTCCAAGTGTTATTTACTACAGTCAGAAATCCCATAAAAGAACAAATGTTTATGAAGTGTATGGCATAAGATATTAATAATAGTGAAATTTATCAAAGAAACTGCCATCCCTCAAACATGATTAAGATAATTGATTTAGGTTGTATCGGTAACCTTAGATTTTGATCAGGTGACTTTATTTGGGTTACAGATTTAGATGTTTGACCTACCTTTTCCATACCTAGGAAATAAAATAAACAAACAAAAATGCACTGGCTTCCTTGTGTCCACTAATGTAGAAGTTGAAAAATTAGCTCAGTGACTTCTATTTAAATATTATTATACAAAAAATTTTACTTTCATGTCCTTCTTCATTTACTGAGACACACCCCCAAAATAAAGTTTCCAGATCTTATCCATTTAGAAACTTTTGGCGACATACCAACTGGTTAAAGGTTAATATGTAACCAAAAATCATGTGGATATTTGTTCCAGTGTATGTAGGAATCCTGTGCTTGATTCATACTAGAATATTCCTTTGGGATATAGGAAATTTCCACAATATAAACATAACAAATCACAAGCACTTCTGCAATAAAATCATTCCAAATGTCTCTTTAAACAGGCCTGAGAGCAGAAGATGAAAGCCCTTAAAGATAATTATATAAAATAAATTAATATTAGGTAGATGCATATCCTTAAACTTTTCTGTCCTTATTATATGAGCCTGGATTTGTAGGTCATATTCTCACAGACAAACATTTCCTATGAGTAGAGAGTATTGGCCAAAAGCACCACAACCTATCTGCCAAAGCACTCAACTATCTAGCTCATTATAGAAACTCAAGTAATATTTGTTCTGCAAAATAATAATATAATGAATAATATTACTTTCAGTGCATTCTCAGTCAGACAAAATGGTAGATATCAATTCTGGGATGTTCAGATTCTGAGTCTCTAGCAAACCATTCTGCTACAGGAATATTCCATCTTATAGACTATCAAGTTAGCTTGGCACAGTGAAAAGATATGGACGAGGGATAAAAACAGCCTAGGTCCTCTCCTGGGTCACCACTCAGCTCGTATGACTGCAAGAGACTATCTCAAACCTTCTAAAGCTTTGTTTCACCATGTGAAACTGAGATAATAACTGCCATTTCCCAGACGTGACTGTGTCAGATGAGACTGAATCATAATCAGCAAAGGCTAGAAGTGGTATCAGAAATCACAGTAAAGATATAAAGATAATATAGGAAGCCAAGGCTGAGAGGTTAATGATTTCCTAAGATCACAGAGTAGAGAGTTGGAAAGCTGAATTGGGAGCTACTTATGATAATAAGTAAATGGATTATTGAATTTATAGAGCAATGCCTTATTTTATATGCATAAAAGGTTCATACATTTAAGTAATGGCAGTGCTGAATATATTATCAATGAGAAATGCCCATCTTGTTTAGGGGCTCTAAAAACCAGTTGCCATTAAATTGATACCAACTCACTGGAGATCATCTAATCTTTTAATAATTCTTAGAGGATTGAGGCATGTGAAATAGTATGATGTATATTATGAATTACAATATATATATAAATATGTGTCCATCCATGAAGTCCCTGGGTGGTGCAGACAGTTAACACATTTGGTCGCTAACTGGAAAGTTGGAGGCTTGAGTCCATCCAGCAGCGCCTTTGAAGAAACTCCTAGAAATCTGCTTCTGAAACATTAGCACTTGAAAACCTGATGGAGTTCAGCTCTACTCTGATACACATGGGCTTGCCAGGAGTTGAAAGTCGACTTGATAGCAACTGGTTATCATGTATTTGTGTATGTGTGCACATGTGTTAAAATATTATCCCAAAACTCCTCAAGAAGTCTCTTCAGAACCTACCACCATGTCCATTTTAAATTCTATAACTTGTAAATCTTAAAGTAAAAGAGTCTTCAAAAACCTTTGATTACTGTGGGAATCAATTTCCCCTTAAACTATGTTCCCCAACACACAATTAATTGCAAAAATAATTAGAGGAAGTTCCGTTCAGAGAGAAGAGGAAATACATTTAAGATCTTTCAATTTCTGTTCAATGGTAGGAAGAACTAAATCACTACTCTATTCTAAATCTATTAAAAAAATAAAATCTTTGAAGTCCAACTTGATGTGTCATTTAAATACTTGCCGCTTATTCATGTGATATAATTGCATCTCTGACCTCTTAATGTGAAGGAAGAAAATGGTTATCTTCAATGCATCTGATTTTGTCTGAACATTTATTTTCCTTTAGAAGTCTAAGCATGCATATAAACTTACAGTTCCAAGATCAATGATGAAACAGTCGCCCTTGTTGAAGCTGTCCCAGTTCAGAGGAACTTCTGTGGCCCTGACCACTCTCCGACCCTTCACGTGTAGGAGCCTCTCAGCAGTCAGGTCATTTGTGAGAACGTGATTTAATCCAGATGCCACACCCCCAGCCTGATCAATAGGAGGAAGAAAACAAAACACAACAAACAGAAAACTGATGAAGCGTTTACCAAGACACAGCAAAATATAAAACACAACTATTAGTGAAAAAACTATGCCTATCAGGCCAAGAAAAAGTAGCCATCTGAGTACCTGTTGTTATGTGCCATCAAGTTGGCTCCGACTCATAGAGACCCCTCCTTGGGTTTTCAAGGCAGTATCACTATGGAAGTAGATTGCCCAACCTTCCTTCCAAGGAGTGGCTGGTGGGTTTGAACTGCCAGCCTTCTGGTTAGCAGTCAAATGCCTTAGGCACTACGCTACCAGAGCTCCTCTGAGTACATGAGAAAAGTTAAATATGATAAGAGAGAAAATTCCTTAGTAAATCTGTAACAGGTTGTTTTGATTAGTTTATGTGGGTATTTTGTTTTTTGTGGATTTTTTTTTCAATCTCCTTGGCCTTCCTATTTTAACAATTCAATTTAAAATTGTAAATATCTACTGAGAATCACTGATGTATAAAATACTGTTGCATAAACAAAAGGAAGACACCATAGCTCTTGTCCTTCAGGAATTACTATAATGATTTAGGGAGAAGATAGAGGAGGATTTCTGGGAAGAAAATGATAGGAGATTGAAGGAGAGTCAGAGGTCACAAATACAGCCAAGGAGTGGCCAGAGAAGAAGGCAGCCCAGATGTTCCCACTATCACAGAGTTAAGAAGAACAGGAGAATTGAGTGCTAGCCATGTATGGGCTGCTCCCTATTTATGGACCTTGTTTTTACGTTAAAGAGTCAACTGTCTCCTTCATTTTCTGGTAAACAGAGTTTACTAAATACACAAGGCCTGAGTATTCATATCCTTAATTAGGAGAGATGTATTATCCTGGTTGCACATCAGCAATCAAAATAAAATAAGACAAAAGGAAACAAAATAAACTATATCAAATTAAAAAGAATGCTTAAGAAAAAAACATTAAATGTATGAACTACCTCTTGCATTTTTTGCTGTCATCTTTTACTTTTTCATTTTTCTAAAACATTAGGAACCATAATCATTATGTCCATGATTAATTTTGAAGTAATTTGCATAATTAAGATGCAGGGTAAACAAAATTCTATGCCATTTATAAATCAAAGTCCTCTGATGATAATATAGTAAGAAAATTAGCTGTACAAGAAACCTATCAAATAATGCAAACTTCACATTTATTATGTGAACATCATAGTCAATCTAAAATAAGTTAAACTGTATATGCAGTCATTAGCACATTATTTAAATTTTCATTGAATTTAAATTCCCACCTTTCTTCAGGAAAAGGCCTTCATGAGTAAAAAAGATTTTGGTAGCATAAAGTTAAATGTTGATTTCAGGACAACATCAAATTTTAAGAAATATACAATGGATGCCCAGTTCACAGTTTTACAAAAATTATTACATTTCTTTATTGAAAAAAATAAGTATGATACAATAAAATCAATATAAATTTTCATCTATTTACTACTGTCCTTGGACTTTTCAAAAATGTTAAATAAATAAAAGGACATTAAGATCAGATAAAAAGTGCTATAAAAACTCTCAGAAAATAAACTAAAAATACAGTGTAGACATAAACTGAAAATACATATACAACATTCACACTAATTTCATACTCTGAACCATCAGAATAGTACATCGATTGTGGTCAAGTTGATTCCAACTCCTAGTGACCCTATAAGACAGAGTAGCACTGCTCCATAGGGTTCCTAAACCCTATGGGTTCCTAAAACTGTAATCTTATGGAAGCAGACTACATTTTTCTCACATAGAGTGGCTGATGGGTTTGAACCACCAACCTTTCAGTTAGCAGCCAAAGGCTTAACCACTGAACCACTAGGGCATCTTCAGAGTAATATATAATCTGTGAAAATTAATAGTATTTTTTAAATTAGTATTTGATGCCACAAATGCGCAGAAGAAAAGCTATATGTTGCATTATATGTCTGTGTCAGACAAAAGGTAGATACATGGTGAATATTGCTTAAATTTACCCTAAAATCCCCTAGCCTTTGTCTGCTTTCACAACACAGAATACAAGCAAAGTGGAGGGAAAGGGGAGGTGACCCTCTAAATAGGAGCACCATAAACACAGGCTTGCAGACAGAAGTCCTATAGTCACTATCTACAATCATGGCTCGGGGTAGGTCATGTTTTAAGCTTGCAAAGGATATGATTAGCCAGAGATTTAATTTAAGGGAACAGTGGAAAGTAATAGTGTCTATAATCTCTCCCCTCTATAGAGCACTGCCCCACAAGTCAATCAAATGAGATAGGAAGATGGCCTTAGCGTAGTGCCTAATGCACTTGACTGCTAAACAGAAGGCTGGCGGTTCAAAACCACCAGCCACTCCTCGGAAGGAAGGTTGGGCAATCTACTTCTGTAGTGATACTGCCTCAGAAAGCCAAGAAGGGATCACTATGAGTCAGGTCCGACTTGATGGCACATAACAACAACAATAACAACAACACCTGAAGCTTTACATTACACAGGACAACTACACAGGGTTTTCACTGACACAATAATAATAGAGTTTGTCAAGTTCTACACATCCCAAATAGACATAATATCCTATTGCTTATAGTAATTTTAAATTAAAAATTTGTTCTAACATTGGAAACATTTATTAATGCTGAGTGCATCATAAGATAATGACCACCATCAGACACTGGGGTCAGATGGTCAGTCACCTACCCATATACTAGCCATGAGACCTTGGCAAATCACATAGTGTCTCAAAGTCTCAGTTTACTTATGTATATGGTAATAACTTCATCATAGAGTTGTTTGGATTAAATAATATATGTGATCAGTGCCATGAAACCAAATGTGCATGAACTGTTGAGAGTAAAATGAATCTGCTTTGTAAATTTGCACCCAAATCACAATAAAAAAATTAAAAATAAATTAATATATGTGAAATGCTTAGAACATTCCTATAGAGTTGAAACTAATGATGGGATGAAATTAAGTATAACATACTGTAATATAACTTTCTATTTTGGGTGGTAATTATCTGGGCCTCCACATTTCCTATGTTGTAACTGCACACATTGCCATGTGCTCAGTGCCTCTGATGATAAGATGGTGAACTGATTTTTTTGCTGATAAATTTGACCTCCATTTGAAAACATCTTCTTTCTAAAAATGTTCATTTTCATTATTAAAAAACCCACAGTCTTACCAGTCTGATAGAGACTGGTGATACTCCTAAGACCCTAATCACTCATCAGGCCTGGAATTGAACTCACTCTCTTGGCTCAATTTTCAGCCAAACAATAGACAGGCCTATGAAATCAGCAAGTATACCAAGGTGGTACATTCTCCTTAAAACAATCAACCATAAGAGTTAAAAAGGGCAGCATTTGCATAGGAATAAAACTCAGAAGGTAGGAATGCATAGGAAAGAGGGACTTAGGGAAAAGATAACCATAGGGAGGAAATGGGAAGGAACTGTTATATTATGGGGACTGCAATTAATGCCATGAAACAAAATGTACATGAGCTGTTGGATGAAAAATGAATTTGCTCTGTAAACTTTCACCTGAATCAAAATAAAAGGTATAACTAAGCAACTAAAATTCATTACATAAAAATAAATTAACTAATTAATAATTTGTGGGGTTTTAATGTTGATAATTAGGAGACAATTCTCCAATAACAGCAAAACTAATTTTATCGTGTACACTTTCAAATACATATCCAAAAGTTTGATTTCAGAAGTCTTGTTCCTAGTATAATTAATAATAGCATAAGTTTCTACTGAGTGGGGACTTGTACTGTCAGTATGTTTATTATTTACTTTAATCTTTAATTATTATACCAGTATAAGGAAACTATTATTATACCTCTTGTATATTTGAGCAAATAAAGCATAAAGAGCTTAAGTACTTGCCCAAAGTCAGAAAAGTGCTATGTGGCACAAATGGATTCACAATCAAGACAAATGCCAAAGAATAGGCTTTTGGTAACAAGAACCAGCTTACTTAAAATGTGGCTTCATTGAAATGAAGGAAGTTTCAGGATCATAAAATGCAGGAACTAGTATGATTTAACCATCACTCATTTATCAGTTTGTTGTACTGTGGCTAACGTGTAGCTACCAAACCAAGACTGACTGGGGAGGAGGACCTGAAGATCTATTTGTAAAACAAATGGTCAGTGAAAACCTTATGAATAGCAGTAGAACACTGTCTGATAAAGTGCCAGAAGGTGAGCCCCTCAAGTTGAAAAGGACTCAAAATACAACTAGGGAAGAAACATAACCTCAAAGTACCATCAATCTTAATGTCATGGATGAAGTAAGGCTTTATTTGTTGATGTCATGCAACTCAAAATGAGAACATCTGCAAACAGCTATTAATAATCGGAATGTGGAATGTACGAAGTATGAATCTAGGAAATTTGGAAATCATCAAAAATGAAAGGAAACATGCATCCATTTCATTAGAAAGCAATGGGTGTTTCAAGTTCTTTTAAATAAAATGTGCATTTAAATGATGCACTGCTGAATTTTATCTTTAAGAGTACTAGTTTTCTGGTAATTTATTTACATACATTTGATTTACTCCGCTGGGAAGGATACACATGGATTCTCTGAGTTAGTTAATAAAGTGTGATTATGCCCCTTCAGCTACATGAAGTCTATAAAGAGTTGGAATTTATTGAAATACCTATTGCTTTTATTTACTTATTTATTTTTTTAATTTTAAGAGCTTGTTTTACATTCAACGTCACACGTACATTTAGTTTCATTCCCCATTCACCATGTCCAACCCTAACCCAGCCTCCTCCCCTCCCTACCCTGCAACCCTCCCCCTGTGCCCCTCATAATTATGTACTCCTGTTTGTCCTGCATTTCCTCTGTTTGAATGTTGGTCCTTTGTGTGTGGTTCAGCATCCTGGGTTGAGTGGTCTGCATGTACATCTTGTTAACTATTGGGCTGAGAGCCCACCCCTGGAAGTGAGTTTTAT